TTCTGTAAGTCAACCGCGTAGGTATTCACTTCCCCAAGTTTGTCCTGGAAAAGGGCGCTGCCGGGAAAGGGCACAAGGGGACCACGATTACACTTGTAATTACATGCCAGGACCTCGTCTTCTGCCATAGCACTCACGTTATGCGCACACCTGCTTAGGACAGGTGGAGTGCTCAGGGTTCACCCATCTTTTTCCTGTCGCTTTCCCTGTGGTGGATCATGATTTGAGAGAATGAATGTAATAAACCAAATTATTACATTGAATTTGTATCTCTGGATTTCCCCCTGAGTTCAAGTCACAGTTATCACGTGACCTCGAGCAGATTGCTTTCCTCTATCTGTAAAGAATGGACTTTAAGGTCCTTCCTTGCTGAGGTGTGCTGTGACATTGATCACATTCTCTAATAGAATGTTACTTTCTGGACATCTTCCAGTGTCTTCTAGTGATACAAAGTGCTGGTTTCCTTGCATGCGCCCACCCTCAGAGGCTTCCCAAATATCCCAACTTCCCTTCCCATGACTTCAAGGGCCTGTCCTTCTGGAATGTATTAGAACCCAGCTCGCTCGACAATTCCCTCCCTCCTTTTCTTCCATGATCCTCAGTGGTAAGGTGAGGCTATTTGTCGCATGCTAGAAAACTCAAACAGGAAGACACCTTAGGGATTATTCAGTCCAACCTCCCTGTTTACATATGTGGATCCCATGTCTGGAGACCTCAGGGACACCCGGTGAGTTGGTGGCAGAGCCGTGGGTATCCTAAGTTCAGGTCTCCTGCCTCTGAGCTCAGCCCTTGCCAACACGTTGCATGGCTTTTAAGAAGCCCCACCCTGCAAGCTGTGCCCCTCTTACTTGAGCCGTTGGGTGAGTTCGGACTTCTGGAGTTGTTCCACAGCCTCCTTGGCATTGTTGCTCAGCTGGCTGAAATAGTCCCACACCACAGTAGCAACCTGGTCAGCATTGACTTCCGCCTGAGCACCTGGGTAGGAAACAGAGCAATTCATGAGGACCCGTATCCTTCCTTGACCCCCTGCACCAGCCCTGCACTGCAGACTGGATGATGGTGGGGGAGCCCAACCACCAATTCCCCTTTCAGCTTGTCTAGTTAGAGACCACAGGGGCATATGAAACCTGTATGGCACCCATGCTAGTAGGCCTACTGTTGTGGATGGGCCAGCTCTCCTGTGAGCTGGGTGGCAACTGGGCCACCCCATGCATCCAGCTAGGGACAGACAGGCACTCGGAACTGTCCTCTGGCCTTGGCCCTGGCCTCTTCACCCTAACCCACTCAATGCAGCAGACATATCCTTGCTGAGAACCCTATCCAAAGGCAGCGCCTACTCACCAGTGATAGCCACCAGGGCCAGGGTCAGGACCACAGCCTTCAGGGACATTCTGGGCTCCTCGCTGAGCTGGAAGAGTCACCACACTGGATCCTTCCTGGAATCAGAGGGAGCAGGAGGAGAGGTTCTCAGGTGGCTCACCTGTGCTTCTCTCTGAACTGACTGAAGCTCAGAGCCAGCCAGACATTTAAACACACTCCAGGCTGCCCTCCCCGCTTCGCCTCCCCATGTGACTCCACGCTGGAAGGTGACACGTTCCCAGGAGGCCTCTTGGACTTTCATGACACTAAGACGTGGAAGCTGACAGTAGACTGCGGCTTGGGCAGCAGTCAGAAGCAGCTGTTCTCTGCTCCACCCAGTATGAAAGGGAGAGTGAGGGAGCCATAAGCTGTGGGAGAGACAAGGCCCAGAGAACCCCTGAGCCCAGGACTGATGCCCCAGAGAACTTGTTGGCAGCTCTGGGTCTGTGCCAGGCTTCAGCAGACAAAGTTCACACCTTCTCTGTTTACCCCCGAGGAGAGAGCACCCCCACTCCCAAAACCCCCAATCCTGACTTCATCTCCGAGTACCAGACTGGGACACCCAAGGCCACAGGTGGAGTTAGCAAGGTAAAATCCAGAGTTCTGGTCAGGGTGCAGCCAGGAAGAAGGGAACTTGTGAGCTCTTGGGCAGGGCCCTGTATTGAAAGGGTTAATTGTAGTGTGTTTCATGTCTCACCACTGCCAATTGTGCCACCTGGTCTAGTGATTCAACTTAGCTTAGCTCTGAGCCTGTATCTCTTTTGAAAAATGGAGTTGTTGGGTATATTAAATGAGATGTTTCCTGCGAAGTGAGTTGTACAGTACCCGGCACAGAGTAAGCACTAAAAAGTTATTGTTATTGTTGTTGTTGTTGTTGTTGTTGTTCATAACATTGTTTTTCTGATTTGGACTAAAGCAGGGAGTACAGTAGACTGTTCACCCCTCCAGTGAGTGTGGCAGAGTTAGACCCAACCCTCTGCAGGACATGATGCAGGGTGATGGATGGGCCTGAGGCCTGAGTCCTGTCCACTTCCCCCAGCCACACTCCCTGGGCAGGAGTAGTCAGCTTGTGATGAATCGCAGGACCTGAGGCTGTCGGGGGGCCTCTCAGCTGGGGGTGGGGTGATGGTGGGGGTGTCCAAGAGGTCTTCTACTTGGACTTTGAACGTTTTCTCCAAATAAGGTCACATACACAATCACAAAAAGACATCCCCCCTGTGCTGGACTGTGCCACGTTGCATGACTATGAGATGAAAATCCACTGCACTGCACTGTTGGGTCGATGGGATTCCAATTATCTGCCGTTAGAATAGAACACATTGCGCTAACACTGATTTACCAAGTCTCCATTTTTTCATATAGCAGAAGAGGCTTGATGTCTCTTGGGATGAAGACAGCTAAAAGGCTTCTGTTGTTTGCACCCCTTCTGCAGGGTCCCCACACCACCCATGGTCACCTCCAGTGTCAGGGAGAGCCTCCTCCCTGGAGCAGCCCACACTGTTTTGCAGTAGTTAGGGGTTCCGATTCTGGAGTCAGACTCCCTGGTTTTGCATCTGGACTCCCCACTTACTGTCTGTGTGACCTCGGGCAAGTCTTTTAACCTCGCAGCCTCAGTTGCCTCCTGGGCTATGAGGATTCCATGCGATAATCTGTGTGATGCTGGGAACAGTGTCTGGTGCGTCGTCAGTGCCCATCAAGCATTAGCCATGTGCTACCACTGAAAGACTGACTCCCTGCGGTACAGACCCATTGGCCTTAGTCCTGCTCCCAAATCAGGCACAGTCCAGCTTGGGTGAGCAAAAGTTTGGTGCTCAATGCCACCATCCCTTTCCCTGCTGCCCCCAGGCCAGAGGTGAGGAGGACAGTGAGTCACCTCAGCTGCAGTCTGACCTCCTGGACTTACAATCTGAGCAGCAGGTGACGCCAGCGTGTGACACGTTGAGTTTGCCCGTCTCCCTCACAAGGAAGTACATGCACTGGGAGTGTCTGTGCCCGTTTGAGCGCATCTGAGAGTGTCTGCAGGATGCGAACAGATTCATATAAGTGTGCAGATGTATTAACCGTCTGTAGGCACAAAGCTAAGGCCTGGAGCGAAAGGACTGGTGCAGGCAGTGCATGTACCTGTAGCCGTGGGGAGGCTGTGCTGCCTGCCTCCTGATATTGGGTGGGTGGGATACCATTAATGATGCATGTATTTCCCACAGTCTGTGGGCATGTTTTGTAACAGTCTGTGAACAGATTAGTGCTGGTGGGCGGAGGGTGCGGTGCGGGGAGGTCAGGAGAATGAGAGCTCCATGCCCAGTCTCAGAGGGGGCAAGTGCTGACAGAAAGAGCAGACTCTGCCTTTGCTGGGCCTCCGGTTCTCTTTGGGCCGGGCCCTATGAGCCAAGGGATGGCCACACTGGTAAGCACAAAGGGCCTGTGTAATGTTGGGTGAGTTGCGTCCCTCTTTGAGTTTCATCTCCTTGTTTGTACAACAGATAGACCTAAAGGTCAGTGAGGCAATCAGGCTGATAGTCTTGCATCACCTACAGCTCCCCTCTCGTCCCCCAACAAGCGTCAAACCAGGGGTTAGCCCAGAGATTGGAGTCAGGAGGGGACAGCTCAGGCCCAGTCGGAGACAGGCTCAGCCAGGGACAGGCAAGTCACATGGACACATGTCTCCCCACATGCTCCACACCGAGCCTTGTCCCAGGGCAGAATTACAGAGGGTTGTTCATGTTATGATAGGAAGGATCTGGCTAAAAACTAGGAGGAACTTCCAGCGTGGAGTGACATGGTGAATCGGGGCCTCTGGCTGGGAGGGCTAAATCAGAACTGCCCCCATCCAGCCTAGTGGCAGGGGCAAGGATCACAGAAATTCATGTACAAAGCCTCACTTGGATGCAAGCGGAAGCCAAGAGAGTCACCTCAACCCCAGAGGACCATTTATGGCCCCAGCTGGTCAAGCTTCCCCCTGTCCCTACTGGTTACTCCCTAGAATGGATCTGTGGACCAACCGTAGAGCAGTCTCCTCAGTCTCTCGTTCCAGGGGAGCCAGGTAGGAGGGAGGGAGAGGAGAAAGGAGGGAGAGGCAGCTTAGTCTGGCCACCGAGAGGGCTCCTACCCTACAGAGATCCAGGCTGGAGCTGCTAGGAGGGACACAGGCACTTGAAAGAGATGAGGTCCCAGGCCTCAGGGCATGCCATGATCCACCTGCATGGGCCCACACACCTGGTTTCTCTACCCAGCTCAGGAACACCCTACTGTGTTTCTCTGCTGGCCTCCCTGGACTCCATGGGCACACTGCCATGCAGGAGAAAGAGCACGGGCTCCTCTAGACCTCCACATACATGGAAAAGGAGTTGGAGGTATCAGGGTTAAAGGATCCAGCCATCTTATTCTAGTATGCCCAGCAGGGAGGAATTTGTCCACCAGCCCAGCCTGGACTCTGGATTCCCACTGTGGCCCTCACCTCTGAGGCTGAGGAACAGGCCAGAATAGAAAGGGAAAGTGGGCACAGTTGCCTTCTACCTTCCCCAATGCCCAAATCCTTCAGTGACCTTCTAATCACTTTCCTTCCCTTCCTACCCATAACGAAAATCCACACTCAGAAAGAAATATAAAAAGGATTTTCTCTGATGTATGAGTGGCTGATAAGTCTCCAAGCTGTTTAGTACCAGAGCAGGTGTTTGAAGACCTGGATTCTTGTTTTATCTCTACCACCGATGGACCGTGTGCACTTGGGTACATCTTTACCCCTTGAGCCTTAGGTTTCTTATCGATAAAGTAGAGTTAATGTCTACTTCATAGGAATCTGAATAATTGAATTTTAACAGAAAACAAGGTCTAAGCCAAAGCAATGAATCTCCATTAGAGGAATTTCAAGACTCAGCCATGGATAAAGAATTCTGAGGGTAGGGCCAGGCCATTTTCTCAGGCCTCTGAGTTCACACTGCGGGGTTAGTTACTTCTTCCTGAAAGGGTGGCTGACTGCCAAAATCCCAATTTCTACGTTGGAAGCTCCCTCTACCCGTTGACTCTACTGTCAGGGGAAGGGCAAGGTATTTGAGAGGAAGGGAGAGAGGTTCAGCGAGCCCTCTTCGTGGACCACTAGCTTTCTATATATCTCCTGTACTTTTCACCATAGCTCTGGCATATCAGTATTCTATCTTCATTTTATCGAGGAGAAAATTGAGGCTCTGAGGTGTTAAATCTCTGGCCCTGGGTCATATGAGTAAATGCCAAAGGCATCATTTAAGCCTAGGATTTCTTGGCTCCGATGTCTTAGCACCCAGAAGACAAAGTCCTCTGAACTTGCCATCCAGGCCATGGCTCCCAGTGTGGGTCCAGTGGATATCTTCTCCCGAGAAGGGCCTGAGGTCTCCCTGAACAGCCAATGGCCCCTGCAGAGCTCCTCTGTGCCCTCTTCCCACCAGATTGGCCTCTCCACAGCCGTGGTTCCTTCCAGTTGCCCACCCAGCCAGGGAGGCTATGAGGGCTGCTATTTTCAAGCTGAAGAAACTGCTGCCTGCAGTGAGAGGTACTCAGCGCTGTGAATCGATCACAGCTGCCAGTTTGGGGAAGGCCCCAGCCACTAGCCCAGCTCCCACTCTAGGGAATGTTATCAGTGGGTCCAGAGGGCAAGGTGAAGAGAGGGGAGGAGGGACAGGACAAAGGCCTTGGGCTCAGAGTGGCCTTGGCCTGTTCTCCCACCACCCTCTCACCTGGGGCAGCTCAGGGAGGCCTCTGGGTAAGCAGCACCATATTGAAGCCAGAGATGGAGAAGCTGAGGAGGGTGACTGTGAACTCAACTGTGTCACCCTCCCCACACAAGCCTCTGCCTTTTGTGACTTCACTCTAGACGCCCCAATCCCAATGCCCTGAGTTGCTCCCAAGTCTAAAGAAGCCCATTATCCTTTCAACCCTACTCCCACCCCAGTCCAGGCTGTTTTCAGGACTTGGGGGGTGGGGGGAGGAGGGATCAATGTAAAGGGCTAACGTGGGACCAGAGGCCTCTGGTTTGTCCCCTAAGCCCCTCTCCTATGTCACCAGCTTCTTCCCAAGGAGCCAGGCTGCTCAGAAGGAACAGGGTCTCCCCAGGCTCCACACATCCCCAGTTCCTGAGCCTTCTGGGCTACGGTGATGGTAGGAAGTGGCATGGGCACTCACAGCCTTCCAGAGATTTCCCAACTCTCCCAGCAGGCCTGGCTGCATCTGGCCACCCTGCCTCAGGCCCTATTCTAAACTGATCGGCAGGTGACCTTTGCCCGACTTGCATGCCGCTCTGGGGATAATATAAAACAGGTCAGAACCCTCTTGTCTGCCTACTCAGTTCCTTCCAAGAAGCAGCTGCTCCAGGTAATGCCCCTGCGCAGGGGGAGGTGGGGGACAGGAGAGCAGGATAGAGAGGGCCTGAGGAGGGTCTCTGCTGGCCCAGCCAGCAAAGCCTGGAGAGGAGTTGGCTAGAGCCAAGGAAGACTTAGGGCTCGATGAGTAACCCTGACCCCCGATTGCACACGGGGGAAACTGTGTCCCGTGGAGAGGAGGTCAACCACCCACAGCTACGTGGAGTGTGGTTGCAGACCTGGGACTGAAACTGGCTCCAGTTCTGTTCGCTTTCCCCCCGTTCTGCATGTTTAGGACTGGAAGAAACCTTTAGACACCCCAATCCTATCCCAAAAAAAAATGCCTGGAGAGGGGCAGAAATTCACCCCAAGTCATGCAGCATGTTAGTGGCAGAAACCAGACCAGAACCCAAGTGTCCTGATTCCTAGTCTGGTGGGTTTTCTTCTCCATTCATCCCACTCCTCTCACTCCGTCCAGGTCCCCCTGAGCCTCCATCCGAAAGCCCTTCACCCCTGTGCCAGCGTGGGTACAGTCCTCTCGGCCTGGCTTGACGACTCAGGTTCCACCTTAGGGGCCATACCACTTCCCTGGGGAGGGCCTAAAGGTGGGAGGATTTGGGGCACCACTCACAGGACGCTTCCCTGCAGGAACAAAGGTGCCATGCAGCCCCGGATCCTCCTTGTTGCTGCCCTCCTGGTGCTCCTGGCCTCTGCCCGTAAGCAGCTCACGGAGACTGGGCTGGGGGAACCTTGGGAGGTGGCTTGGTGATCCTGGACACTGACGGAGGCTGAGCAGGAGCCACGGGCTTCCCAGAGGCTGATCCACCCCACTCAGCCCTGCTGTCTTCTCAGGAGCCTTGGAGGCCGAGGATGCCTCCCTTCTGGGCTTCATGCAGGACTACGTGCAGCAAGCCAGCAAGACAGCCCAGGCCGCGCTGACCAGCATACAGGAGTCTCAGGTGGCCCAGCAGGCCAGGTACACTACTCTCACTTCCCCCATCCCGGGCTCCAGCTCCCTCAGCTCCTACCTGCCCCAGACTTGGTGACCGCCCCGGTAGTGGGGCTGTGGCTCTCCTGTACCCAGCCAGGACCTGTGCCTCTCTGAGCCTCCATGTTCTGGTCTACAAAACAAGGGTCCCTCCCAGGGCTTTTTCAGGCTGCCTTGGAGAGATGCCAGAGGTATCTATTTCCTCCTGACCTCTTCTCCCTTTGTCGTCCCTCCCTTTTCCCTCCGGTGCCCTGCGTGGCTCTAAGGAAGGCCACTTTAGCCCTTACTCCCATCTTCCTTTACTAGTAATCTGGCTAGAGGTTTGGCTGGGAGTCTCCATGGTGTTTGTATGTGTGTGTTTCTGCCTCGTTCTAAGCCCTGGGCTCCACGTGAGCAGGAGTCTGTCCTTCCTCTACCACCCTGCCCCTGCCCACTAGTCCTCTCGCCACCTCCACTCCACTGGCACTGGCCGGCATTTACGTAGCAGGGGCATTCACAAACATTCTTAGTCCTCAGAACTAGCTATGGGGTAGCTAATATTTTCCCCATGTGCAGATGGGAAAATCAAGACTCAGAGAGGTTAAGTGACCTGCCGCGATCACACAGCTAATCAATCTTCTGATGATTTTCCAAATGAGAGACTGCTTCCCTCTGCTCCAACCCACTCAAGAGCCACCAAGTTGTGAAACTCTAGTGGGCATCATTTGCCTAGAATAGAATGACAGCCCTGCCCAGTCGGTCCTCTCCAGCTTGCCTCAAACCAGTGGGGACACAAACGTCTGCCCCAATCTGAAGAAACAAGGGCTAGACTTGAGCTAGGGCCCCATCACCACCTTCTGCCTCTCTTCTGCCTGGGTGGAGCTATAGGGGACCCTGCCTGAGGTCTCAGGGGTGTTGCTGGGTGAGGTTGAGAGGGTGGGCGAGAGGCAGTGTGGATATGGTCGGGGGCCCCCGTGGTGGCTGCTGCTCACAGACGAGCTCTCACCCCCACCTCTTTTGCTCCCCCTTACTGATTTAACCCCTAGGGGCTGGATGACCGATGGCTTCAGCTCCCTGAAAGACTACTGGAGCACGCTTAAGGACAAGTTCTCCGAGTTCTGGGATTCGACCCCTGAACCCACACCAGCTTCACCCTCTTTGGTCGCCTGAGACTTCGACTGACCAGGTCTGCCTGCCTATTCATCCTGCTGGCTCCTTGGGTCCTGCAGCCTTCAGAGCTGCCCCCGAAGTTCGCTTGAAAGAGACAGCATTCTCAGTGCCTTCCCACTCCAACCCCCAGACCTGCCCCCCGCCCCAGGCATGCTGTCCTCCCAATAAAGCTGGACGAGAAGCACCGTGCCGTGAGTGGGACATCCCATGGGTGCCATGTGTGTTTGGACGTGGGCATGTTTGGGATGTTCTGTGGGCGTGCGCTGGACTGACTCCCACTCGGGCAGGCCTGGGGCCAGTGCCTTACCCACTTCTTAGTGCCTGGGTGGTGTCTGAGCCTGAGTTTCTTCATCTAAAAGGCAGGAATAACCCTACCACGTACCCTGCCTGCCTTGACAGGTTTACGTGGAGGAGCAAACAGGATGATAGGTTTGACACTATTTTGATAAACTGTCAAACGCTGTACAACATGATGTGAGAATGTATTCTGTGCCAGGCACTGTGCCCGGCATTTTTATGTCATCGTGAGAGATGTGATTATATGTGTTCATCAAAATTATGCGGCTGACTTGAACTACCTGGGTCATCTGGTCATCTCAACCACACTCAAGGGAAGGAGGCCTCTGGCATAGTGGTTGGAATAAGATACAACTAGGCTCTGGTTTTGGCTCCATCACGTTATAGCAACCTGTTTCTTATCTGTAAAGTGGGCACAATAATACTCCCTTCTTTATAGGTTTGTTGAATGAATGAGTGAAATGAGAGTGTAGCACCTGGTACATCAAAGGTACCTGGGAAATTGTTGTCATCGTCGCTATAGGCTGAGCTGATTCTTGGGACCAGGATTGAAGTGGGGAGCCAGTGTCCTGGGAACTAAGAAGGAATGCAAGGTTACCCACAGAGGCTGCTTCGCTCATGTCCCCACTACCCAACAGATGATCACATCAGAGAATTCCAGGCTCAGAAAAGTGAAAGCACCTACCCAATGTCACGGAGTCAGCAAACGGCAGAGCCGGACCTCTGTCTTTATTTTGCTCAGCTGACACAGAAATAAAGCTTAGTTACTCTTGTGCCAGGTGTCGGAGAGCTACCTGACGGAGCTTGGTGGTGTTCCCACATCCAGCCCCACTCAGAGATGTCTGCTCTCTTTGGAAATCCACTTGGGCTTCTCTTCTGGCCCAATTGTCAAAGGACCCCAGCACCCACACCTGTGAAATGTTCTCACCTAAATCTGGGCTTAATACCTGTTGTTGTAGCTCAGGATGGTTAGCAGCTAAAAAGCCTGCTTCTTTATCCAAGAGTTGTTAAGAAACACTAGAGATGGAGGAGGTGTGATTATCAGTGGCCTGCACCAAGGGACAAAAGCTCCTGAAGGGACAGGGTAGGGAAGGTTCCGTGAAGGCACTGCCCACATCTTTGAAGATCTGTGAAGCCACGTGCACAGGAGGCTATAAGTACCTGAGTGTGAAGAAGGACTGGCTATGAACAGGGATGTACACAAGAATTTGCGTGCAAACGTGCACACCCCAACAAACTTGAGAGCCTGGCCACACACTTGTTTTGTTTTGTTTCGTTTTAAATAACCCTGAATGCCCGGGGAAAAATGGGTCTGAAAAGGGCAACCTAGCCCATCCTGCTCTTCAACTTTGGCAAATGATTTCCCATCTCCAAGCTTCAGCTTATTCATCCGTACCATGGTTTTAACGGCTGTCTACCCAGAATTTTGGGAAGGACGCAGTGAAATGATGGATGTTGAAAGCATCTTGAAAATAGAATGTGCTACTTTCCTGTGAGAGGTGGTGATTATTTTTTCTGACTCAGGCTAGCGCTCACAGAAAGAAGCGGGGGCAGGGCTTGGAGCTCCATGGGTGGGCTGGCTGGCTCGCACAGCTGTGCCTAAGGACACAGAGGCTGTTTCTGCGTAGGGTAGGAGTGTGAGTGGCAGGCTGCCCGTGTGAAAAAATAAAAAGGAAGTGTTTGTTTAAGCATTATTGAATTAATAAGGGAGGAAAGAGCAAGAGCCACGGTCTTCATTTGAATCTGCCCAAATCCTTCAAGTTCCACTGGTTCCTTGAGGGCCACCCCTGCCATCCCAGAGGCAGAGAGCTGGGAGAAGCTCCTGCCTTCTGTCTATGGGAACACCTCTGGGGACCCACTTCTCCCAGCAAAGCCAACCCTGCCTCCGGACTCTCCTCAGACAGGGCTGCAGCATTTATTGTTTAAGGCTCTTTCAGGACACTTAGCATTGGATTATCTGTCGCTTTGCCTGGAACTCTATTATTCCTTCCTGTTACCCCTTTGGAAAGAGTCATACTACCTCACTCCTAAGCAGCCAGATCCTAGCAGCTCCTCCAACATTGACTAAGACCCTGAGAGGCCCATGTTCAGAGTTGAGCTCAGACTGGAAAATAAACAGGGCCCTTGCCCAGGCTTCCCCAGATGTTTCCTCCAATGGCTCTGAGTCCATACCATTTTTCCGAGATTTTTTTTTTTTTTTGAGAACTTTTTATTGCTTAAAAATCATAATTGAAGCTTCAAAAAACATACAACCCAATACATATGTCCCGCTTTGGAAACGTTTATTCCAAGAAACCGAATGATGCAAAGGGGAGTCCCAGCGGGCGACGGGTGGCTCACTGGGTGGTCAGCTTCTTGGTGGCCTCATCGATGGCGGTCAGGACGCTGACCTTGAAGCTCTCCCACACAGGCAGCAGGCCCTGGCGGAGGTCCTCCAGGGCTGGCTTAGCCTTCTCTCCGAGCGCTCGCAGCTGCTCGCTGGCTTTGCTGTGGTACTCAGATAGGACGCTGCCGCTGTCCTTGAGCATCTGCAGCCGGCTAGCCAGGCGCTGGCGCAGCTCTTCGCTGTAGGGGTTCAGCTGCTGGCGAAGCGCGTCCACGTGAGTGCGCGCGCGGTCGCGGAACTCCTCGCCCAGCGGGCTCAGCTTCTCCTGCAGCTCCTGGAGCTTCTGGCTCGCGCCCTCGTGGAGCTCCTTGCCCAGCGGCTCCACCTTCTGGCGGTAGAGATCCACCTCCTCCTGCCACTTCTGTCGAAACTCGTCTAGGTAGGGCTTCACCTTCTCCTTCATCGCCTCCAGATCCTTGTCCATCCCCTGCCTCAGCACCTCTGTCTCCTTTTCCAGGTTATCCCAGAACTCCTGGCTAACCGGGCCCAGCTGTTCACGAAGCTTGGTGACCGTGGTGCTCAAGGTGTCCCAGTTTTCCAGGAGTTTCATGCTAGAAGTGGGGAGAGAAAGGGCCTCAGAGGGGACCTCCCAAGCACCCTGGACACCCCGGAGCTGCAGGCCCAGCGCCGCAGCTTACCTGTGGTGAGACCTGGACAACATCTGCCCCTGAACATGCAGTAGCTGTGGGTCAGACCAGGGCCTGGCCTTTTCCACACACTGTGGCACCTAATGCACCCCCCACCCCGCCCTCCACCACATCCCATTGTACAGGTGGACTGAAGAGCTAGTGAGAGACAGCTGGGTTTGGTATCCAGTCTCATCTGTCCCCAAAGCTGGGCCGTTTAAGGACCTCATCTCTATGCTTCCAGACCATTCTCTGCCCTGAAGACAGCCATCCCTGTGGCTGGAGGGCAGCAGAGAAAGGAGTTAAGAATGGCAAGGGTCTCGTTGCACTCGTAAGCAGAACGTGGAGCTGTGATTACTCACTGGGCAGTGCTGGTCTGTTGCTTGCTACCCGTCCCAGCCTTCTATACGGCCCATCAAATAGCAGGTGGGGATTCGATCGATCTGGCTACATCTTCCTACAGGCCTTACTGTCCTTTAGACCAGCAGTCCCTGCCCCGGACCCCGGCCCCAGACCCCAGACCCCAGACACCCCAGACTGGGTCCGGGCTGGGTCCTTACTTTAGCTGTTTTCCCAAGGCGGAGGCTTCAAACTGGGCCACATAGTCTCTGCCGCTGTCTTTCAGTGAGTCCACATACACGGTGGCTAAATCCTTCACTCGATCCCACTGTGTCTGAGGTTCATCTCGCTGCCAGAAATGCCCTGCCTGGCTCCCTAGGGGTGAGAAGGGAGACTCAGATCAGGCCAGCTCTGGGCAAGATTGGAGCTGAAAGGCCAGGCTTGAAGGCAGGAGAGGGGGCAGGGGCTAGTGAGAGATCCTGCTCCTTATGCCCAGGCAGGTAGACTGCAGGGGTTTAGGGAGAAGGACCTCCCGATGGTTGGCTTCCTAGGTTGGGGGACACCTACCCGTGAGGAAGAGCACGGCCAAGGTCAGTACCACAGCTTTCATCTTGGTGACCTGGAGGAGAAGAGGGGCCTGGCTGAGTGGGTGGGCCTCTGGCATGGAGGAACTCTGTATTCCCCCACTCATTCCAGGCAGGAGAGGAGGAAGAAGGTCTTGGAGTGAGAGATGGCCTCAGGTACCCAGAGCTCCAGCATGAGGCAGAGTCTGGAGTCACTATCCCAGAGTCTGAGATTCAAATGCTAGAGCTTGAGAAGCCAGAGGAGCTTGGGGCAGGAAGCAGCACTTACCTGGAGTGAGCACTTTCAGCGGTGGCTGAGCAGTAGCTCTCCCTGGGCCTATTTATGTCTCCAGCAGGGGCTGGGCTGGGAAGGTGATAAGTCCAGCCCAGGCTTTGCCACTGCTCACTGGTCCCGGCTGAGATGTGGAACCTAGAGTTCAAGGATCAGCTCTGTCCCTGGGGCCGGGCAAATAGAGTGGGCAAACAGGAAGCTGCGGGGGCTGCAGGGCCAGGGATCAAGAGTTCAAGAATGGGTGAGACAGGGTGGGTGCAGACTTGCAGGTCCCCAGGGTGGGGGGTCAGCTGAACCCATCCCTTTCTCCCTGGTGGGAAGTGTGTTCCAAGCCATTGTCCATTGTGCTTCCCAGCTGGGGAGAGGAGGGAAGGAAGAAAAATCCACAAACTGGCCAGGCAAGGCAGGCACTCCTTAGGAGATGCTCCCCTCACATTCCAGGGAGATGATTTCACATCTCCCCCTTCCTCCCCCCTTCTCCCGCCCCCACAAGGGCAAGACAGCTCTCCCACCAGCACTCTGTTGAATCTCTAATCCCAACAGGTTCACCACATCTCCTTCCAGACCCCTGCAGAACTCTGAAACCCTTAACCAAAGGGAACCTGTGGTGCTAGGGAGCTGCCTGGGGAGAGTGGAGAGTGTTCAGTGGCTCCCAGACTTTGAGATTTCAGAGACCTCTAATATTTCCAAATTCTAGAGACCAACACAGAGTTGCCAACTTTTTTTTGGGTAACACCAAAATAGGACTTAATTTCAGAATAAAGGACAGTCACTTAAAATCGAATACATATATCTTTGTATGGTTCATATTTGATCACACATGGGTGAGCCCTGAGGGATCACTGATGTGGGAAAAATGCATTTGGTCCAGAGGTAGCAGGAGAACTACCTTCTCATTTTATTTTGCCTCCAACTCGCAAAATCCTGGATGAGGATGGTGAGCCAGTTATGTAATCTCTCTGAGCCTTGGTTTTCTATCAGTAAAGTGGAGACGAGAATGGCTAGGTTTGTTGGAGGCCCCCATGAGATCCTGTAAATGTAAAGTGCTGTGTGTTTGTTGGTATTTGCAGCACCATTTTGTAAGGTTTCTCCTGAAAGGTCCAGGACCTCCAACACCAGGTCACTGACAGGACCTGAGTCATGGAACTTCTTTATGTCCAAGCTGGAGGAACTTTGAGATCAACTACTCCAGCCTCCTCCCACCCTGTCTTACAGATGAGGAAACTGGAGACAGCGAAAGGAATTTGCCCAGTGTCTTTGATCTTCCAGGGCATTGGAAGAAGGACTGAACTTAGAACCTAGGTCTCTGGACTTGGGACCCCAGGCAGAAATGTGCCGTGCACCACCTGCCCAAGAAATTCCCTCATGAGCCTGGTGCCACTATCTGCCAGATTCTGGAATGGTGGGGCTCCAGGCTTCTCCCATTGTAGCCAGTCTCATGCCTTTCACCTCAGTGAAGAAAGGTTTAGAGCCAGACACTTATTATCTGTGTGACCCTGGGCAAGTTACAGAACCTCCCCACAAATCAGTTTCTTATCTGTTAAATGAAGATAATTGTAGAATATGCCAACTCCTAGAAGTACACGAGGGTTATATGTCTGGCAGGCAGAATAATGGTCCGCCAAAGATGTCCATGTCCTGCTCCTTGGAACCTGTAAACTTACATGGCAAAAGGGACTTTGCAGATGTGATTATAAGGACCTTGAGATGGGGTAGTTATTCTGGGTTATTTGGGTGAGCCCATTGTCATCACAAACATCCTTAAATATACAAAAAGGAGGCAAGAGAGGCAGTCAGAGAAGATGAGAGGTTGGAAGCAGAGGTCAGAGTGATGTGATTGCTGGAAGGAGGCCATGAGCCAAGGAATGTGGGCAGCCTCTGAAGCTGGATGAAGCGAAGAAACAGATGACCCCCTAGAGCCTCCAGAAGAAACACAGTTCTGCTGACACCCTGATTTTAGCCTCATGTGACCCATTTTGGACTTTTGACCTGCAGAACTGTATTGTAAGATAATATATTTGTATTGTTTTAAGCATTAAATTCGAACAAGTATGGCAAAACTGAAAGGTACCTGGCACTTAGTACACAGTAACTATTCTGTGTCCCAGAATCCCAGTCTCTGGCATTTTACCCCCTCACTCCCACTGATCACACCTGCATGGTCATACCTGAGCTAAGACCTTGGCTTCAGGCAGCAGAAGTAGGGGAAGGCAGAGAATCCTTCCTCTGTGTGGCCCTGACTTGCAGACGCTGAGATGTGAGATCTCTGTTCAGGAATTCTCACCTTCCTGGCTCTGGCCTTTGAAGGCACTGGGCTGGGGAGTGCTATTTGACAGCATCTTACCAAGCAGGAAGGTTCCTTTTTAAATAAACTTATTCACTAGTATGTCTACTCCATTTCACTAAGTTATTTGGATTAAACTAGCCCAAGCCCCTCATTACTAATACTGTGGAGAGGAAGGAATCTTTCTGGACAGAAGCCTAAGGGAAACGCCACCACCACCAACAAACTAGGTGCATCTCAGAATCAGACCTGTCATTGTTAGAGGATCAAGTGCCCATGGATTAGATTAGCTGCTTAGTGGGTGCAGGGCCCACCAATATAAGTCCTTTGTCCTATAACCCTCTTCTGATCTTGGGAGTCTCCAGAATAACTGTTTTTGAAGTAGGCCACCAAGTGGCTGGCCCTGGGTCCCCTGACACATGTGGGAGTGCTACTGGCTGACTACAGGAGTGGATTTTGCTCATTTCACAATTTATGTCCCAATGTCATACTGGTCAGTCTGTACTGGGAGGACTTCGTCCCGTTAGGCCTGGCACATAACAGACACTCAACAAATATTTGTTCAATGAGTGACACTGGCATACTAAAGGGAGGGTCACTAGAGTGGTAAAGGGACCCCTGAAAGAATGGGCCTTGGGAGGAGACAAAAAACTCTTGAGCTCAGCTCTGTATCATAGACTCTACTCAGAACATTTAATCTGAGAGCATGTGGTGGATCAGAATGGAGTTCAGGAGGTTTGGATTGAGTAGGGAGAGAGGAACCCCCGCTGTCATTATGTCCTTTTTGGCAATTTTGTTACAGCTTTTGGTGATGAGAGCCCCAATTTAGACCCCAGGGCAGGGTATTGTAACCAACAAAATGCAAGATTCTCTCCTGCCCTTCTACTTAGGAGATAGGTGATGACAGAGCTTATCGGTGACCAGCGTGAGTGGAGGTTTGGCTCCTTGGGAGGCACACCAGCCTTCAGAATTCTTGACCTTTGCAGTCGGAGTGGGGTGGGGGCTCCTACAAAGTCAGAAAGGTCAGCAAGGATCTGTCAGCATGGCTTCTGTTTTCTAGAGCTCAGATCTCTGGGTCTACATCCAAGAGGCAATGCCAATTCCTCTGTGTTCATCCCAAAAGCACCCTGGCCGACTTCAGGAGGGCGTGGCCTCTATTCCAAAAAGTTGTGACAAGTTGCTGGAAGGCATCTGGGTAAATCACTGATTGGTTTCAGAGACACCCGGCCTTCCATGGGAGTGTTTATAAACTCAGATGATTTTTGGAAGACCCTGCTTGAGAAGGCTCTTTTCTGTTCTAAACAGGCCCACCGTGACTTTCTCGTCTACCAAGGACTCGAAAGCTTTTTTAAGTTCCCTTTCAATCTTCTTTCTAGAGAATCAGTTATTTCCAGCTTCAGTAATCTTTATTCATAGAAGACCTTCAATCAGCTATCTCTTAGCCATGCCTGGGGTCTTGCTGGAAATTCTACCCTGCCCTTGGTAGTTCGGTTATGGAAAAGGGAAAATGGTAGGAAAAGTCCCCTTTCTATCCTAACAGTGGGCTGACTGGGGTCATTTCATAAAGGCCCCAGGTCTTTGAGGACCTTCTACTCCTTCAAAAATACCCTCTCAAGGAATGTTTTCCACCTGACTCAGCAAACTCAAATGCTCCCTCCTGAGGGGGCAGAGTCCAAGCTGGGTGCGTGGGGCCAAGTATGGAGATGAGTTCAGGCTTCTAGAGAATGCTAGTTTTACAAGGTGGAGTGAGATAATGCACTGCTCGAAGCTGCACCCTGTGCTTGGTAGACTTCTTTAGCCTCCACCCGTGTGGATGCTTCTCCCAACTAGACTCTGAACCACAAGGCAAATAATACAGCAACAGAAGATGGTAATCAGGTTTTTATTTTCACAATCCCCTACTGTCCAATTAAGTTACTAAGCTGTAAGTGCCCACAAAAAAGGGACTAAAGGTCTTACTGCAACTTGGGTCCGGAGATTTTTTTTAATCCTTTTTTAGTTCAACATAAACGAGAAAGCAAAAAATACTTCTGACATTTTCAAAGGACAGAAATAGGAAAGTATATTCATATACATTCAACATATACTGAGCATATTGGTTACTACAATACAAAGCAATGATTTTTTTAAAAGTGTAGTTCGCAAGATGGCACGGTTAACAGGCTCACTGGCTTCCCTCTCGGTGGTCACTGGAGGGTGGCAGCTGCTGTCCCGTCAATTCAGTCCCATGTAAACAGGACAGGCTGGGGGGTGGGGGGCCAGTATGGGGCACTGGACTCGGACCCCAAAGAAGTCAAACTGTTCAGGCTTTCTTGGTAGCCTCCTTCTGGTGAGTAGTCGGTGGCCCCACCAAGTGGAGGGGAGACTGGAAACCATGAAAACCTGGGAAATATTCCAAGAAAGGTTCTTGCACTGCAGAAACCCATCGAGGGATATCGGGTCCAAGAGCTGAGCTGCCAATATCAGTGAGAAGGACAAGCTGCATGGGGATCCTGTCAGCAACATCAGGATGGCCATGCTGGGCACCCGCTTTCTTCTGTGCAAATTCAGGATGAAAGACTGGGAGGGGACTGGAGACCTTTAACTCTCCTTTCCCAGAAAAAAGGATCAAGAGTCAGAATATTTAACATCTCTTTCTTGTTTTGAAGATTAAAGGAGATAACCTAGATCCTTCGTCAGCCCCCAGCCTGCAGAGAAGACTTTGGTTTCTAACAGTGAAGAAAAATAATGACACAAACAATAGCTATTGCATATGCACTGCTTCAACTAGGGAAAGGAGACCACTACGTCTGTCACCGGCACAAGTAAGAACTGTTCACAATTACAATTGTAAATAAAATACTTTGAACAAAAGGTGCAAGTCACAATTCAAATAGAACAGAATCTGGTTAAACATTTCTCTTTTAAACAAAAATTACTTTTGTTTAATTAATTAATTAATAATAATAATAATATCAACATTTACCAAAAACAAGTCTTACATGATCAAGAATTAAAATAGGGAAGAGGAAAAGGGTAAGAGAGAGGCAGGGCCCAAGACAGCCTCCTAGTCTTCTT